ACGACGTGTACGACGGCTGGCAGCGCGCACACGAGCCGACCCAAGGACAGCACTGACGCGAACTGAACGCGCATGAGCACAAGTGAGGTCACCGAGGTGAATGTGGACAAGTGCAACGCCGTATCAACGCTGACGTGCAGCCCGCCACCGCGCGGCGGGCCCGCCAAAGGTACCCACAGGTATGTGCCCCTACCCCCATACTTTTCCTCCTCGCTCGCCTGTATCTCTAGCGTCTCGACCTGCCGCAGGACGCGCGCCATCATCGCGGCGAACGGAGCGAGCGCGGTGCCGCCCACCAGCGTCACCGTGCGCACCGCGTCGCCCACGTCCGGCCGGCGGCGCGCCATTCGTGCAGCGCGGGCGATGCCCAGACGGCCGTCGATGAGCATGCCTCTGCGCAGCGCGCGGACGAAGTTGAGGCGGCACCTTGCGTACCAAGCGCGGCACACGCTCGCGTATGTGCCCCACTCTTCGGCGTCGTCTGAGAGGGCGCCCGTGAGCACATCAACGACTATGTCCCAGACGTCGTGCGGGAGTGGAGGCAGCAGATGGTGTGCGTGCAGGTTTGGGTGTACAGGAGGGAAGGATGGAATGGCGACGCGCTCCTCGATCCCGGAGATGGACCGGCCAAACCACCGGTAAGTTGGGCTTGGTGACCTTCTCATGGGGGCACTACAGAGGATGCCAATCGGCTCCCAGATCCCGGAGATGGACCGGCCAGACCGTTGGTAAGTTTGGCTTGGTGAAACCTTGGAGGGAGGGAGAGGGGGGTACGGGCGAAGGTGCTGGTGGGTTCCTACGTGGGTGTTGCGCGGTGATGACGAGGAGAATTCCGTGGGGCGTGCATCTGCACAAAGTGTCAGCGAGTCTCGCGCGCTGACCGACTGCACTGGGACTTGTGGACTTACTGCTACTAGATTTGGAGGAAGATTGGTGGCGGCCCATGGTGGCCCATGGTAGCCGATGATATGAAGCAATACAAAGCCGTCTGCACCATTGTATACTATCACCTAGCCGCAAGCGAATCCGAGATCTAGTAGCACCAGGCTGGGGGCGCGTCTGCTGTTCTGTATCCATACCATAGAGCTATAATGACGTCGCTGGGAAGCTTTGGAGATTGGTGTGCGCGAGAGTCAACAGACGAACAAAATAACATGCTTACTTGAATCGCGATCGTACAACTAGCTTACATTGATTGTCTCTGGCGTACTAGCTCGCTGAGGGAGTAGCGCGTTGTAGCGTACTGGTGGCGGAGGCAAACGGACTCAGGCGCCTGCCCCTCGCCCCAACCGTAGATATAGCGCAGATACAGTGTGGAGCAGCTCAACTGTTCCCATGGTTGGATTGTTGAACTATCAACCGGACCGATTCGCTGTTTTTTGGCCATTGTAAGGACATGAAATCAAGTGCAGGCAATTGATGACAGGTACAATGATTGTACTTGCATCTACCGGATTCTGACTGTCAGATGTTATGAATTCTCATGATGGACTGACAGCTACTCTCAGAGTGATAGCATCCGGGAGCACAGCCCACATTGATCACCAGTAGAGCCTCAGGACTCAGGTTCATGCAGTACTGGAACATACCATGCCGGCCATCAACATATGTGTTGAGGTACTACCGCACGGCCAAATGCTGGATGTTCTTCACTCCAGTCTCGCTAATCCGAAAAACACCCACGGGAATACGCTGTTGTCGAACGAGTCTGCAAAGCGGACAGCATGTACACAGCAACGTGTCGAAGTTGAAGATGGGCAAACAGTCTTCGTCCCGTCGTATCTTTGGGAAGGTCGAGACCCGAATTACCATTCGAACTCTATCCTCGTTATGACTGTACTTGTACGAATATAGCTACATTTAGAACGCATCTGTTTCTTCCTTTCTGTCCGCATGACACCATGTTTAGCGCAGCGTCACAAGCTCTGTCAGCAATGAAAGGAATCAGTGACTGGATCATCAAAACGCGCGCAGCATAAATACCACTGACCCTCGCCAGACGTTGGGTGGATCGCCACCGTGTCGTCCAGGTCCTGCTTGCGAGCGCCCATCTTCACTGCAACGCCGAAGCCCTGCATGACCTCGTCGCTCCCGAGCCCTATGATGTGGATGCCAACAACTCGCTCCTCAGGACCCGCGCAGATCAGCTTGTACATCGAGGGCTCCTTGTGATCCTCGGGGAGCATCGAGAAGTACAACGCGCGGAACGACGACTTGTCTGTGATGCGATGTAGAACGCTCATTAGGGACCCGCTACGCAGGATAATGCCCACTCACAGATCTTGATATTGGCATCACCGTACTTCTTGCGCGCCTCGGGCTCTGTCAAACCGACGGTGCCGATGGTGGGATGCCTTCAAAAGGCCGGTCAGCACGCCGCGGACAGCCAGGCAAGAAGACTACACATACGAGAACACGACCGTCGGGATATTTTCGTAATCCAGCTTGTCGTTCTTGTACTGCTCCCCTCCATACAAGCGATTGCTCAGCCGGCGCGCTGCAGCGATCGCTACGGGCGTAAGGAGCGCTTTGCCGCAGACATCTCCGAGCGCAAAAATGCCCGGTACGTTGCTCTTCTGCCACTCGTCCACAACAACGTCGCCCTTCGCGTCCATCTTCACGCCGAGCTCCTGCAGCCCGAGGTCCTCCGTGTTCGCATGTCGGCCAATGGCCCACAGCACACAGTCAACCTCGACCTTCGTGCCCTTGTCGGTGTTTATTGTGAGCGTCTGGCCCGGCGCGCCCTCGACGCGCACGACCTTCTGGCTCTTATGGAAGTTAATACCGGTGTGCTCCATCCAATTTGTCAGGACCTCGCCGAGAGATGGGTCGAATGTGCGCAGGACGGTGTCACCGCGAATAACCATGTGTACGTCGCTGCCGAGCGTATGGAACACGCCTGCCAGCTCGACGGCGATATAGCCCGCCCCGACGACCGCGACGCGACGCGGCTGCTGCTCAAGGTCGAAAAAGCCGTCTGAGTCGATACCCAAGCTTGCACCAGGGATCTCGCTGTCAGAGGGGACCGTCGGCCGCCCACCGGTCGCGACGACGATCTTGTCTGTTTGCAAGGCGTACTTCGATCCATCGGGCCGGGTCACTTGCACGCTGGTAGGCGAGAGCACACGTGCATGGCCGTGATGCAGCTCGACACCCTCTTTGGCGACGTTGCTGTCGTAGATCCCGTTCAGCCGCCGGATGTAGGCGTCACGCTGGGGCTTGAATGACGCCCAATCGAACTGAGGAGATCCGATGCCTGGACCATGGAACTTGTATCCAGCTGCGTGCCGGATCTTGTCTGCAATATCGGCAGCATGCCACATAATCTGCGAAATTCATCAATTAATATGCTGCGTGAGGCTTAAGCCAAAGTGTAACGTATAAAATGGGGCGGTTGCGATTGTGCACGCATGGAGCTTAGCCTTCTGAGTTGCTTTGTCATTCAAACAACTCAGCCGGCTGCCTGTGCAGGTTGAGTTCCATATGCGCGAAGCCGCAACAGCCCCTCGTCATACTGAGGTGGTCAGGAGAGAATATTACACACCTTCTTCGGGACACATCCTATGAATAGTGGATGATGTGAGCATTCTGCACGGATATATGCGCGTAGTTCTGGTCAAGAACGCACCAACGTTCACGCAAGTACCGCCCAACCTTTCTGAATGCTCGATCAACGCGACTTTCGCGCCATATGACGCGGCGCGGCGCTAACGGTAGAGATATGTGAGACGAGTGTCAGAATCAATGTATACAGGCGAACGCACCGATCCAGCAACACCACCGCTCCCTCCTCCAATGTAGATAATGTCAAATTTCTCGTGGCCAGGCGTCGTAACAGGCGGCATTTTTTGGATTGCTGTAGTTGTGATAGTTCTACTGATCTGCGCGGGGACGGTGAGGATGGTGAGTGAATCTATGTGCCTGCTGAACGCACTTGGGAGAGCCTGAAGGCGGCAAGTCTATTCGCGGGAACAGAGGATCTCTGGGCACAGGAGAGAGCAAGGGCGGTGCGGGGGGCAGATAGGGACGATATGGCGGCTGACCAAACGATCGATGGGGATGATGCGGGGAGAGAGGGTGAGACGGGGATGGTCTCAGACGTCTTGGCTTTATAACGTCTCGGGAGCCTGATTCCCCTCAGGATGGCAGGCGTCGGTCGTGTCATATGACGCGCTCGCTGGTCTGTAATCGTCCTGCGTCCAGATCACTGCGCCTCGCTTGGTCATTCCACGCCGGCGATGTCGTATCCAGCGCTGCTTGCAAAGTTGAACAAGAAGAGACGTCGGTGACCGAGTCGTTGCCAATGCTGAGAAACCGAAACTACAATTTTGCACGTGGTCCGCGTAGAGCGCGCGGGAGATACCAAACTCGTCCTCTGCGCCGACGCAGCGACACCCTTCGCCTATGGGAAGCCATAGCCGTATGTGTCCACGGCCGGCGGGAGCATCCACTAGTTCATGTATATTTAGCTAGCAAGTGACAAATCCTTCCTCACTATGCAAGCCAATTAGGTCCGATGTTTTACAGGAAAATACGGATAGCGGACATATGATACATATGACAGAAAACGAGTCGACATAGAGTAATATTTCAAAAGAAAAAATCTTTCAGAGGACGCGCGTTGCAGGGCGATCCGCATCGTTCATCCTAGCTGTGAAGGACGAACTGAAACCACACCAACTACTATCGGACCCGCGAGACCACTCAGAATTCACATCCGGCTGGGCCACCCCCATATCGGATCCGACCCAACTCGACTCCAACTCCGATCCTGCAGAGTTCAATCGATGTGCCGATTCGCCATGGGAAACGCTTTCCATTGACGTCCATGCGTTGTGGAACTCGAGGTCCGACAGAGGTGTGGCAATCGACGGGGATGAAACGCGGGGAGGAAGAGGAAAGGAGGCGGAGAAATCGAGAGTGGGGAGGACCAAGGAGTGCGAAGGATCCACGGTGAGTCCTTGCGCATCCTCTAAGCTGTCTCCCCAGCTCACTTCACTGTCCATGCTCATGGCTTCCAAAACATCCTCCATCCTCTCTCTGTCTTCTCTCTCCTTATCCTTTCGGACTTCGTCGATTACGCACCAGCCGCGCCCTGCTTCCCCCAGTACACTCCGCACTCTAGCTTCGTCCCATCCTTCGAATGTCACCTCAAGGAGGGTGCACAGTCCAGAGGGATCCCCGTGAGCCTCGCAGTGGACGCCCGGATCTTGGAATACATGTGCTGCATCGAGGCGAGAAAACAGCGACGAAATCCGGAGTGTTTGTGTGCTGTGAGCGCTATGCAAGCTTGAAAGGAGTGGGAATGGAAGAAGCGGGTGCGAAGAGGGAGAAACTTGAGGAGAGACGGGAAGAGGAATGCGCGAGGCGGGCGTCGGCGCAAGCGGAATCAGGAGGTGGGTCGTCACCTCGGAATCGATGACATTGGGGAAGTAGTGGTCCATCTCGGCCTTCCTCTCCTCCTCGACAGTCGCAGCGAGAGGCTTAGCCTCTCTCCTCGGCTTGGACATCTCTTTGCTAGCCTTCTTGCTGTTCTTCTTGCTTTCCTTCTGCATACGCAACCTCTCCCTCTCCTTGTTCATCTTCAGCTCCCAATCGGCCTCCCAGAACGCTCGCCCAGCGACAGGCACATTCTCGACGAGGTTTTGGAACACTGGACGCCCGGTAGAGAAGTTGCGGGCGAGCCCCAAGCCAACTTGACTCACTCCACGAGGAACACTGGGAGCACGGGGAAGGTGGGGAGCCTGCAGTGGGCGCGAGAGGGCATGGCGAGCAGGAAGCGATAAGCCCTGCTGAATTGTGCGCATCTGGGTGGGGCCATTGTACAGAGAACGAGCCGAAGCGGGGAAGTTCTGAGGCGAACGCAGGGTGCCTGGGGCGGTAAGGTGCGTGATGAAGCGCGAGAGTAGCGTCCGGGTCTGTTTGAATATTGTCTGCGTAGTCGAAGTACCTTGCCCGACATGGGGACGCGGAACGAATGATGAGACGTGGATAGAGCGAACATGAGACGGTTGAGGGTGGTGCAGTATCGCACCCCCTCCAGTCGGTTTGAGGGCGCGCAGCCCAGACGACCAGAGCTGCATCGTCGAGAGAACTGTCGACGTGGGCCTCGAGATGCAAGTGGTTCTGGTCCAAGCGGGGGCTCTGCGAGACCCTGACTATATGCGCGGCAGCTGGATGCCGCAGGCGTTCGTCAGCGTCGCCACCGCGGCGGAACCTTGCTCCTCGACTTTCGGGTTTCCCCGAATTGCCTCTAACGGCAAGACTTCATTCGTACTACATCAACCACTGTATTCTGACACTCTGGAACCACGTTGAGAGCGAGGCATGTTTTGGTGTCCAGACTCATCTTTTAGATTCAATAGGAATCATACGCCTCCGCTGGACAAGATGTGCACGCACCGTTATCGCGGCCGTAATGTCCGCGTTAAACAAGTCGCATGACCCAAGCAGAATGCAACCAATCCGTTGCGGTTGAGTCGCAGCTGTCAAATATTAGCACACGCGCGACAAATGGAAACCAACACAGACTAATTTGCAACGTAATATATCTTGCGCTTCGAGTGCCAGATGCCCAGTAATGCCTCACGTCTCCTGCTCAATCCATACAAGCCTTGCATCGAGATGCCAATCACAGGACCCTTGAAATGTCGTCAGCGGGAGGATTCCATTTGTGCTCTGTTTTTCATGGGAAGCACAGACAACCGAGCTCGCCGTTGCCACGCTCCACACAGTTATGCAAGATGGTAAAATAAGTCGAATTGCTCAGTTCGTCTTCTGGTGCGAGTGCGCTCAAAGTTCTGGCATTCCTTTCAGCTAGTATTTTATGGACACGCTAGTATGTGATACGTAGCGGATCTGTTTTGACTTGAATTTGTGCACGCCACGGTGGTCCTTCCCATGAAACCCCTCCAACTCAGAGGCAAGTGACTCTACTCGGACTAATTCAAGTCGCACACATCGAACGTCATACATCACAGCGACTTTGGAGCGGCACTCTGCTCCTCCTTCTCGTAACGAACTCGGTGCTTCTGGTGGCACACGAGTAATCTAGGCCAATTCAACCACTTCCCAAGTATCAGTGAGTGCTTCTTTGATTGATGACTGCCCGTTCGCAGATACTCAGAGCTAGTTCTAGAAGCTATACATCGGCTTTATGGCACTCGTACAGCACTGTCTCATTTCGTAACGACGCCACATTGTGGCACTTCATTGCCGCCACCCGCAGTGTCCTGCAGTGTACTGACGATTGCATGTAGTTGGATGCTTGCATCCGTATAAAAGTCTCGCTCGGCCGTTCTACAGTGATTTTTAACAACCCACCAATGTCTTCTACTCCTCGAAACTCGCCCTCGACTTATCATGATCCGCACTACACCCGGTGCCCGGATTGTAAGAAGGTTCATCATCGCGCAGATAGTGCTCATCACAATCTGGTGTGCCCGGTCAGGCGACGGAGACTAGGCGGTATGGTACAGAGCAGTACTCAGACTAGAGTGTTTCCCCATCGGAACATTTTGCCAATGATACAAGTCCAGACGGACGTCATCGTACAAGACTCAGCTATCGCCCCTCAGATCGATTCAAATCCAGCTCGAGTCACAACTATCCGGCCTCAGCCCGTCGAGCCAATCCAGCCGGACGTGGGGGACACCAACCAAGTTGATGATCGGCGCGGCGTCGGCAACCTTCCTTCGTCCACTCTCACTGTCACAAGCAATCTGGCCTCCTCTACCGTCCGCCTCTCCGTTTCACAGAACTCTCGGACGCCGATGACCGTAGTCCACTCTCACTCGGGGCACAGAACCCGGGCAGGCATGCGATCTGGTGCTGGATCAAACAGCTTTCAGCGGCCGACCGATACGGGTACCAATGGGTCGTCAAGTGCTGATCGTATGGTTGGCACACGCCACAGTGAACATCGCTCCTCTCACATCGGGTCTATACCCTCGGTGGAATCTGGCGGCTATGTCGCATCGAACAGCTCCAACGCGAATATACGTGGCGTTGGTGTCGGCAATGGCAACGCGGCCTTCCCTTCGAACGGCCAATCCCGGAATGGTCAGTGAAATGCTGCGCTTTGCACTTTCTATTCATTTCATGCGCGACATGAGATTTCTTCTAAATGTACTCTGTGTTCTTGTACTCAATCGCTCATGTAACTTCAACTCTCGTCATACTAGTAATGCCGTTTACTTCGCGCTAAGCGCTGTCTCATAATGAAATAAGTATCGAAATTCATTCACATTGTAAACATTTTAGTTTACAACTTCATCGCAACACTCCGAGGCGCCGGCTATGCCTTTTTGAGTCACGCATGTGAGACGCCGCGCATTCACTCTCGGATCGCTTTATGCCGGCATCTTCATCATTGACAAGTGCTGTAAACGTTGTCTCATTCTGCATGCCTGGGGATATTTTCAAAGAGATTGCTGGTGAGCACATTGGTTTGATTATATGGTGAGCCCAACATATAAAAATCCTCAAATTCTACGGCCCAAAATGCTGGAGGCAGGGTGATTTTATTGCTGGTGCCCAGCTCGCGAGGTTCTGAATCTGACGTCGATACTTGGAATTCAAGTGCAAGGACGCACACACTGTCGTGAGAGTGGAAGCACAATTGAGTGTGGTGGCATTGGTTGCAGAGCACTGACGTCCGCCTTCGATGTGCGAATGTCGTTATGTGTACGCCTCTGGTTGTTTCTGTCCCGGCCTGACATTGCGGCGTTGTCATCATCCCTCACTCGTGCCTGTTGCGCTAGCCGTTCTTGTCCTTGTCCGATACCCGGTTTCCTACTCGGTGGTACATCAAGACGGGCCCGAGAGAGACTTTCCGGGTGGTTCAGTATGACGGACATCCGCAACGTCACTGTGTCTTAGGATAGCTAGGGATGCTTAACTCCTTAGCTTCTATAGGTTGGCTGTTCCATGTTTTCCACATCTCGGTGTGAGTGCCTAGGTTTGGTCCCGTTGATGTAAAGTCCTCTACTTTGCGGCTTGAGTGCAGCCGCCCATGTCTGTCGACTATAGCCTGAAGTTTATCATCTCTGCTGTCCTTGCACTCGTGTTCCTCGTTGCACTTCATCGTTCGCGTAGTATTAACGGCTAGCTCCCACCTGGCCCAAAATGGCTTCCTCTACTGGGAAACATTCACCAGCTTCCATCCCGATATCAATACAAGGTGTTTGCACAATGGGCTGGGCAATACGGTGTTGTACTTCTTCGGCACCATTCATGTCATTGCTCATTTGCCGGCCCCTCTTGCAGACGACTGATTTTTTGTTCAGGTGTTCCACAAGCCAGTCGCGGTAGTCAACGCCTCAAACGTGGCTCATGAGCTGTTGGAGAAGAGAAGCTCGAGATACTCCGATAGGCCCTGTACAATTGTGCTGACTGAATTGTAGGTATGAGAGTCATGGCTGTGGGATGGCTACTGATCACATCGCGTTAGAATTGGATTTGACCCTGTATTGTTCCTTTTACCATATGATAACGATCACCGTCGTCATCGCAAATGATTCCAGACTGCATTCCAGCCTCTTCAGGGAAGCATGATTCAAAACTTGTTGGATCTGGTCGAGTCGCCCTCCATGTTCACATCGCATGTCAAAAGGTATGCTGTGTCAGGTGTTCGTATATTCTCCACGAAATCTTATTTTATGCAGGTTTGCAGGAGCAACAATGCTCGAGATCTATGGACAGGATCCACACGGCAGATATGTAGAGCTCGCAGGCGGAGCTATTACAGACTCCTCTGAACTCGGTGGCGCGGATACAACACTCATAGGCTTCTTCCCCGTCTGTAAGAGTTTGATATACATACTCATTTCTCATGTGACACTTTCAGTAAAACTTACTCCGCCTTTCATGTCTGGTCTAATGCGATGCATACTAGACATTGAACACCGTGTGCGGGCCACCCTGGACAGTCCCTATAAGAAAGTGATGAGTGACATTGTGAGCCTTGGCCGTACATACTAAAGTTGGTTCGTTCATGGCTCTTCGGGTCGCGGGATGTGCAAAGAAGTCGTTCCTGACGTCTCTGCTTGGAAGGGTTTCAGCAGACGGGTAGGTAACGAAAGAAGATGTAGACCACCTGAAAGGCGCTATACTCATGGTATATGGAGGTCAGTGCATTTACTGAAAGTGTCCATTTAAAATTACTGAGAACGTACGAATCGTGCCAACCCGTACTGAGACAGTAGCGTGGGCTTCCTCGTGAATACTCCCATCATCTGATTGGAATCCGTAAAGAGCCACCGCCCTGCTGGCTTGCAGGTTGGCGATGGTCTTGTAGCCGGACATTCGTGATCAAACACAGGCCGAGATCGATCAGGTGGCTTGTACGGCTCGGTCAGATCTGCACCTGTGAAGAAATATAGGGATAGCCAGGGTTTCAAGAATATTCCATACGTTAGGAATTTTCGCCGCTGTACATCTAAGTACGTCCGATTATTAAATAAGTTGACTCAGATTCAGCTTGGAAAGTCGCATATCATCCAGTACTAAATGTTTTGCAAAGCCACAGGTAGTGCTAAAGAGAGCAAGGCTTCACTGTATCGTACAAAATAAAGGGCAAAGTCAACGCTTTGTCCTTACTATCACTTCATAGGCCATCGTAAGCCACCTATCACATCGCGGAACCAGTCCTAAGCTACCATGATCGGAGAACCGGCACTGGCGGCAAAATCACACGTTGATTACGCCCACTGAAAGCTGCGCATTGATGATAATTCCTCACGTGAAGCTGAGTTCAAGTTATTATACACAATCCCTGACCACGACTTCCTCATGACCCAGTAGAACGTTCAGTCGCTGAAACTGAAGTGTCGACGTACCCCCGTACGAGGAATGAATTGTAGACAAGAGCTCATTCCGATACTTATAATCGCATCTGACTGAGAAGACAGCAAAAATTGCGCCACGTCTTAGAAGATATCTAAACGATGTAAGGGGTATTTATACTTTCATCCTTCCAAAGCTGACCGCGACTATGTGCCGGTGTTATAGCTGCCCGATGAATACTGCATCAACATTCGCTGCTCCCTCTCCGCCAGCGAATGGTCGAAGATGTAATTCTGCGCCCCCGTGGTCAATTCGGGATGTCAGTGGTGGCTACTACTATCGCGCCACCTCGGGAAATGCCCCTTTTTGTTGTAGCCGCCACACAGATCCTTTTTCTTGACGATGAGAAGGTACTGAAGATGATGCCGCTTGTGGTGGATGTCAAAAAAATTGTGGACTTCATGCGCTCTGCAGGTGAAGTAGTTCCAGTTCCTCGGGTGTTCGAATACAGGTACTCGGGGAACTGCAGCTACATGGTGATGGAACAAAGGCCTGGATATACGCTTGGTGTACTGATTCGAGACTTTGGCTGGTTGGCGGTATCGATAGTGGAGTCCCAACTAGGACTCATCAGCAAAGCACGGGCTCTCACACAACGACTTGACCCCGGGGAACATCCTCGTCAACGACGATTGGTCTATCGATGCTATCATCGACTGGGACCGCTGTGACACCGTTGGACGGTCTGCAGAATATGAAAAGATGATCTGTCGGCCCTACGACCCCGATTACCAGCATATCTTCTTGCGTTCTTCAGTTGACCGGCTCGGTTCACTGTCCCTCAACCCTGTAGACGGTGGTCCCAAATGTTTAAGTCATTTCGATTTTCCCTTACCGAGGCCTTACGGTAGCCCAGCGATTACGGCCGATCTCGCGGCACCCAGTACCCTTGCAGACGTGCACGAGGGTCTTCGCCTCCCAGACAGTTCTATGAACAGCCTACGATTTGCTGTTATTTATTTTTCAGGGACCATGGTTTTCCCGAGCACATCTAAACCGCTCTCGTGGACGAGCTACTGCATGGTGCTTTCCGTGGCGCATCGATCTGCGCGCTACTCTCCCAAGCGGGCTTAACAGCTGAATTTAAACGAGCGTTGGACGGCTTATGGTCCCCTTCTGGGCATTACTTGCAAGATGGTTTACAGCTGGACCACAGGATCGCGCGTCACTGCGTAATTACCAAACTCTTTCAATTACGACCTCACATCATCCTCGCACTGTATCCTCCCAGCGGTTTTAAATGAAACCTGCGGGAGGCATGCAAGCTTCCCCATCACATAACGGAGTCTGCCAATAAGCCATTTGTGCACCCGCATTTCGTGCGGATCAGTACAAAACTTGAAGCTCGTCGGCGTCGTCACAACTCGATGCGCCACCAGAATCGTGCAGGATTCGACCGCACTATGCATTCGGGTTTGCGTGTTACAGCTTACAACGTGGTGCCAGATCGCGTCGAAAAGATATATCGACGTGAATTACAGTTCCGTGATGAGCCGAATGATGAACGTTTGATTACCTTGATTGAGAGGACGGAATCTGAGGTTGCAGTCAAGGGCATAGCTTCCATTTTTTTTTACAAGATTCTAGTAAATCTCATGTTGATCCCACCTTTGAACAGCACCGACGAAGTGGCTCACAGGAAGACCAGCAACCTCACCAAATGATACAAGGCCCGAGATCCAGGGATTTTTACGTGCGGGCTACAAAATGTAGTGTAAAGGGGGAGAACCTGTATCCTTGGCTGGCTGACGCTATTGAGGACGACTTGCTTCAATTTTTTATATTTGACTTCAATTGTCTATTTCCTACACCTGTCTGTTATCCCGTTCAACCTTCGATACGTATCCTGAGAGAATGCCCGACATTCACAATGGGACTTTCAACAAGCCCAGAATCTGCTGAAGAGGAATATTCAACTATCAACTTGTCACTTCAAGATTCTAATTCGATACCTCGCTGATAGTCAAGCTCAACAGTGAATTAACCAGGTCAGGATACCGACGTAACATGCTTCATGTATTCACCACGCTTCAGACTCATCTCATGTCATCATCAAACCGCCGGGTGCTTACTTATATAGTTTTCGAAGGGCAGATTGTGGCACAGTCAAACTCTCGGCTGTCTGGGCTGGTATGTACGGCTCGCCAGCTCAGATGGGTAGTTCCTAGAGCTGCCTCTGGATGGTGAGCATGGAGTATTTTATTGTATAGATTGATGCTCTCAAGCTTCAATGCCTATGTGTATTGCTTTAGCTCAAGCTCAGTGTAATGTGGGTAAAGCAAGGAGGCACAAGTCGTTGTCTTCACACTCTACTTGTGGCGATTTGCGAAGCACCAGTCAAAGCGTGGTCCCGGTACGCATATAAAGGCATGATTGGCAACCAGATGTGCAGCAACTAGCAGTTCACAGATTACCTCGGCTTTGCCATGTCATCTAACTCTGAACACGCAGGTGGATACATCCGCCCACTAACTGTATGCACTCTTTGTGGCCATCGTGGTTTGCGCTCGGATGTGGATGCACATCTCGCACAGTGTCCGGTGTCGAAAAATCGCCCTCGTTCGCTACCTGTTCCAGCTTATGCAGACGGCACGTACCCCGGACGGTCTCTGGATCAACTGGGATCTTCCGACGAAGGAGTATACCGAGGTCACTCTGGTTCAAGAGTTCCCCCACTACACAACTTCAAGTTTAGCCGTGGTAGCTCCCGGCAGCCCCAAAGCGGCCGCCTTCCCAGATTCCCTCTCCAGGGTGCTAACCTTGCAGGCGGTCCTGATTCTTTGGCGCAATCATGCAGGGACCGAGTGGACGCTGGTGCAGAACATGCTCAAGATCAGTACGCCAATTACTACGCTTTCCCAGATGGTTTTACCAGCTCTTCGTCCTCGTCACACTGGCAGCGCCCCCAAAGCGGCGCTAGTTCACCTAGCATTCATCTGTCTGCTTCGTCTGGCTCTCAACATGGTTCTTTGCGTCAACATCCACATGACTCTACTTCAGATGGCAGTGGCAGCAACTGTACCTCCCAATATTCGAGTTCCAGGAGGTTTCATGCAGACCATGGTCAACCCCCTTTGTTCCCCACCGGAAGTCGCGACCATCCTGCCAAACACCACGCTCCTCCACTGAGCGAGTTCGAAGCGAGTTCCTGTGGATATGCTGCATCTGGCAGTGGATTTGAAGATGGGAGCACTGACTATGATAGCAGCCGCCCGTGCAGGTCGCACAGGTCGTACGGAGACGGGTATTGACCCTGTGCTTCTCTTTAAAATGCAACATGAAGTTGTTGTCAGCCTAAATGACCTTTCCTCTTTTTATATGAGAAGCCTAGAATAAATGTAGATTGCAGCCCTGCACATATTATGTTCGTATCGCTGGGAATTTGTTCACTCACAACCCACAGCGAACCATTCAACTTGCAGCCTATCACTCTTCCTGCATATGCCCAGATTTTTGAATGCGCTGTTATCATCTATTAATACGTATACTTGGGGATTACGCTTGAAGATGGTGGCTCAGAGGCCACGGGTTATGAAGGCCACGATAGTACGGCGAAGGGAATGAAACTGCGGGAAGACACGTACTCACGACGATGACAGTTTTATAAAAGAGAATAGTCAGAACTGAACGCCCGCTCGCAAGCAATAATGATCTGCTAAAGAAAGTCGATTTGAGCTTTGCAACAGTCAAGTTTCTGGCCTCAGTGCGGTCTCCGAATGGCGGTCGACTCGATGAGAGAAAGGCATAGATAAAATGAACAAAAACAATATCGCCAGTGTTCGAACCGCGTCTAAGCACCAGCATCCATGTATACCGGGTATTATTATAGTACGCATATGCAACAAAACGGAGCCAGATCCGCCCAGCAAGCCAAGGGCGATCATACGCCAGCGACGATCCTGTACAAAAACAAAGCAGATCAGTCAGTCATCAGCGGTTGTGTTGGGAGTCAGAATGTCAACGCACTCCTCTGCCTTGTTCAACGCCTGCACCATCTGGACGCACTCCTTCCTGCGGCTGACGACGTACTCGGACTCCTTGAGCAGGTCATCGAGGACTTCAGGCTTGTACAACTCCTGGAGTAGTTCCCGCTGAAGGTTGTCCTTGGAGTGGTTGACAAGTGTCAGAGAAATGGCTTTGGGCACCATATCGATCATCTCGCGCTTGACAATGTTGAAATACGAGTGAATGAGAAGCTCTGGTGGAAGATATTAGGCGTGCTCAATAAAATATTAGAGTGCTACACACTGATAACTTCTGTCTCCATCGTCTCACGTTCGCTGAGCGCAGCTTGAGGTCGGATAATTGGCGGAGGCTACGACAGCATTATTGAAGATCATTAAATACGACCAAGTCTGTGCTTACTGTCTCCATCACTGCGGCGCCCTTCTTCTTTGGTGTGTTCTTGCTCGCCGAGAAGAACGAGCCAAAGAAACTTGTCTCCTGCTGTCTCACATCTACATCCAGATCCTTGTTGTTGTTGAGCTGGCCTGGTGCGAGTTTTCCGGTCTTAGGATCCACGCTCGGTGGTGGTGGCTTGTTCGCATTGAGCCGGTCACCTACAATCGCCATAGCCTCAAAATTATAGTGAGACTCCAGCACACATCAGACCTGACGGCAGTGCATACTTTGTGTCCATTGAGGAAATCAGGATGCGTTGTGTTAACATAGCACGCTTGCATTCTGGATCATTTGTAAGTAACAGAAATCAGCAGTTGAAAGGGAAGAAAGCCTTACGCAACCATGTCAGTCACAAGCTTTGTGGTTGGATTCATAGCGGTCTTGAAGAAATTCACTACAACTGAGTTGAATCGTTCCCGAAGGGCCGGAAAGCGTCTGAAAGCTTGCTGTACTATTGCATGACTATCGCATAATATGACAATAGGTTTAACGACTCACAATCTTCGCAAGCACCTGACCCAGAATGCGGATTAACTCGTCGTAGACAAGTTGACAACACTTGATACTGGGCTCCTCCAGTCGCTTAATCTGCTGCTTCACGATAACTTCAAATGCTTGCGTCCCAACAAAGACGGCAGGTGTTGATCCCTATCATGAGACACGTCTCAAAACGAGATGCAACGCGAAAAGTGAACAAACTCACAGATGAGTTATACAAAATCGTACGAATGTCACCATCCTTGACCTGGTCAAAGGGATCGATAGTCTTGATGCCATTGTTGAACAGCTCGTGGAACACAAAACTGATACGTGCACCTCCAGAAAGTTCATTCAGCGAAAGGTCGTTCGTGTTACCATCAATGACCGTGCGGAACTCGGAGCAGAATTCGGTAATAACTGATAAGACAATGTTGGCTGAGTTGCCGTCGCCCAAGGCGCCACCTAAGCTCTGTAATTCTGAGTTGAATTTCTGCAGCTGTTGTGAGATCCGCGCCTTGATGTCTGGCAACGTCGCCCGAATGTGCGCCATAAGAATCTAGATGCAGTATGATCGTATCTCCTTCGTCACCATACTAGCAAATATCAGCTTACCACATTGAGTTTCCGTGCAAGGAAAGGCGTTCCGCAGTACTGCGCCTTGCCCTTATACGACGAGTGGTTTTCGAAGAACTGGCGTTCGTATTCGAGCGCAACGCTGATTGCCTTGTTGGTGTCAATATCTCGCTGACCACGGTTCACAACGGGAACATAACCCAATCGAAGCGGAATGATACGCCCTGCAAGAATGTCCACAACATCCGTACCAGCATCCCTATCGCCCGATATGTATGAGCAAGAGCTGACAGGGAACACGGGGCCATAGTACTCACATCAGATCAACCTTGGTCAAAACACCGATCGTTCGTTGACCTTCAGGGTCGACTTCACGCGCCAGCTTCAAACCATCAGAGTTTGCGAGATCGGTATTGGCAGCTGTGACCGCCAAGATAATACACGCAGGCTTGGAGATATATTTGAGCAGCATATCCTTGATCTGTTTTTCAATGTCCCGCGGCTGGTCGCCAACTGGGACCTTGGTCAGACCAGGCAGATCGACAAGCGTCAGCGTTAGGACATTTGGCGAATAAATCCTCAAGTTGATAGGCTGTGGCGAAATCCCGGCATTCTTGCCAGTCTTGGCTTCAGTATCGCGGACAATTTCCGCACGTATCTTGCCAAAGTCGTAGAACTTCTCTCCCGGTAAGTGCAAAAACTCTCCCCACTCATCTGCATTCGCGGCTGGGTCATCTCCATCGACTTTCGCTAGAAAAGAACCGATTGGTACGGGCCCGCAGGAAGACATGCAGACGTACCAGTGGTGCCATTTTGTTGAGTTGAAGTTGCTTTGCGATTTATAAGTTGTAGGACCTGCGTAAAACATCAGTGTCTGCATGCGTACTACTGCGCATATCATGAGCCCGTACCAATGGTCGCCGCGTCACGATACCAGTTCCCCGTGGCAAGAAGTCTCGGCCGACAAGATTCTACCCATTGGTGCACATTCAGTGAGATTTTTGAGACTTCTGGGAGACTGAAAGTACCTCGAGCACACTACTCTTTCCGCTACTTTGACTACCGAGCACACATATCTGCGGAAGGTCTATCTGGGATGCCGAGGAGCCGACAGCGGAGAAGACATCCTGTAGCTTGTTGATGACTCCAACGATTTCTGAGCCAAGGCTTGTGGTTCCCATTTTCTAGAGTGAAATAAAGGATGAGTGGGTGCGGGCAGAGGGAGAAATGCAACACGCGAGAGAAACGCGCAGGGCTGCGTTCAATGCCTCGCAGTGGAAGACGGAAAGGGATGTGAGCCAAACTGAGCCAAACGGCACCGCAGTCGAGCCGGCGTGGCTGCTGGCAGTGCTGAACACTTCGTCTGACTCTCTGGCTCCGCAGGCATGCTGTTTGATCAGTTGGTGCCTTGACACGCCCACGGTTCTGCTACGTTGCACTGCGCTATCCTCTGGTCCTCTGCCTGTTCTAGGCTATGGACATTCTGGGGAGACCGTCTGTGGCATCTCAATTGTCTCTCCGGATGAAATACACCAGATACCCTTGCCCTACGCTTGAAATTCCTGAAGACATTCCATTCCATATCACTCAATTCATGGTCCACGCTTTGTGCTTCTGGACTCCAGCAGTTTCTTGCCCAGTTCGAGTTCTGTGTGAACTCCCACCGACATGTCACTTGTGGAGTTCCATCCCTTGGGTCACTCCACTCTGGGATCTCAAAAAACATCGTACAGTATGTGACTTCTCTCCAGGCCGGTGCCGCGTGGAACACGGAGTGTCAATTTTGAATGAAGGTCAGGTATAGTCACTCGTGACCACCTTCATTCATTTCGGTCCGTCAGAAGGATAGCACCAGGTCAGTCTTTAAAACTCACCGAGCCGCCGAGACGGGCGAGGACAGTATCTCTTCAGCCTCCATCGCCTGCCCTCGTCTTCCTTCGCAAGCAAGTTGTCATGCGCAACTTATCAATGTTTGTTCTAGGACCGAGCCTACTGTCTCTGGCCCTCGACTCTAGCTTGTCTTTGTGCGCTCCCCCTAGGGAACTGTATTCTCCTCTGCTTACAGAGAAGATACTGCAGACCGCACTGGCTTCCCGTGCCACACAATATCCTCAGTACACGGACCGTGTCGCAGGCGATTGGCTCTATTTTGCGCCGGATACTTGGACATCGGGCTTCTTTCCTGCAACGCTGTATGCTATGTACACCCGTGCAAGACTTTGTAATTGGGATACGGAAAATGCGACGCAATGGCTAACACTTGGTCGTCAATGGAGCACAGCAGAGGTGCCGCTCGAGAGCAACAATAGCGTAGGACATGACGTTGGGTTTCTGAGCTATCCATTTGTGGAGGAGCTTGTGATGTCTGTGTTCTGCAGCGGATCTATCTTCCTGTCGTAGCTCACTGGTATATGCATTTCTCTAGAAATCCGCACAATGAGACGGCTATTTCTGCAGTGAATCGGTTTGCGTCCGACCTTGCAGCACGGTTCAGCTCTGTTGTAGGCTGCACGAGGAGCTGGGACACACCAAATCCCATTGATTTTCAAGTCTGTACTGCCTGAGCTGCCTCATTACATCTGCTGATCTCTGACTATGACCCAAGGTCATCATCGACAATATGATGAACCTTGAGGTGCTGAAGTTGCGACTGAGATGTACATTCGCTGAACTGGGCCTTAGGTCCTCTTTGTTTCTGCTGGTTTAACGGGCAACAACACCCTACGAGAGATAGCCATTTCTCATGCCAATAAGACCATGCGGAATCACATCCGACCAGATGGTGCGTCTGTGTATAGACCTTTCCAGCAGAAGACGTGGATTGAGAGTATGCGCGAAACATAGGCTCCTCTTTTCACGTTGTCGAATACAACGCGACCACAGGTGATGTGATTGCAAAATTTACAGCCCAAGGCTACGCCAACTGGAGGTGTGGACTTTAAGCATTGCCTACTTCCAGCGAAACTAACGGGCGGTTATCGCGCAGCACTTGGAGCCGTGGCCAAGCCTGGGGTATCTATGGCTTCTCAAATAGTGAGCGTACATGCCATTCATTAATATATGGCTTGGTTTCACACCTACTCAGTGTACAAGCACACCGGTCATTTGGATTACTTGACCACTGCAAGACGCATGGCAGCTTATTTTCTCACACACCTGCCTACGGATGGAATTGTGCCATGGTAGGTTGATTCGAGACTGAGCATTGAACATGTTCCATACAACGCGTGTGTAGGGATTTCAATGCGCCGCTCGATCCGCCCCGACCGGCGGATTCCTCTGCGGCGATGATTGCAGTGAATGGACTCATGCTCTTATCGCAGCAAGAGCGATCTCTTTCTCCAGCAAATGATACGGGAGCATCCTACTATCAAAATGCTGCTATGCAAGTTAGTGCTCGTTCCATACATGACGCACTTGCTTTCAAGTCTCATAATTGATGGTCGCTCATAGCTTCTCCGTGATAATACCCAGTTGGCTTGGCGGCCGGAGTGGCAAAGCCTGCTGGCCAACGGCACAGTGGACAACCCTCAAGGAAACAACTTGACTGGGATTGTGTACGGTATGACGCCACTGGACTCTTGTTTGGACGTAACGCTCAAGCGAAGAGATTTATTCAGGAGACTACTTCTTTGTGAAGGCAGGGAATGACTTGCTATCGATGGGCGTGGCGTCGTGTTGAACAGAAGCATCTTCGGTACAGGCATTCTCATGTAGAGGCCGCGGATCTCCGCTTGTATATTGACAGTCTGCGAGGTAGCGATAACATCAGTACAAAAGAATCCATGGATTTGATTCAAGGCAAACATTCGAATGATATGCAAAGAGTTACATTCATTATAGCGAGAGCAATTCTTGGAGTACAAAATGTCAACTGCCTAACGCGTACACAACCTTCCGCCTTGAAACCCTCACAGTATATGGTGAGTACCATCTGATTATGCTCCGTAGTTGAGTCGGAAGATATCGTTGTAGCTAGGTACGCGTCAGAGTACACCAATTGCACCAGATATCATATGCTTACACATAGTAGCTCCCGCCGTCAGGTATGAGCTGGAAGACTTGGCTGAACTGCAGGGGATTTGTGCTGTCGTCGACCTGACAAAGGCTGTGGCATCACTGATTCGGACAGCCTCCGATGGGTCGTACTCACCAGCAAAAGACCGGTCACACTGACGATCAAACTCGCCACGGTGGGCGATGACGGCTGCGCATCAAGAGTAGTAATCTTGTGTTGAACGGTTTGGAATGGCAGTGTCTGCAACGACAGGCAATAAGATGGAGAACGCGTTGCCCGTGATGGTTGTGCTCACCGTCAACTTGTCAGAGATGTTGGCTGCACCTAAAATCGGAGAGCCCTCCCACGACAACATCGATTGCTCGCGCTATAGCAGAGAGCACTGTTTGTCAGGATGTTGTAGCGGCATAGATCGCGTAGATCAGCGTGAAGGACGTCGACGCACGTAGAGACTCTGCAGGCTGGCACGGTTGGTGTCGAATGTGGAGTAGTAGAAGTCTGTGAACTGTTTGGCAATGGCGTTGATATCAGACATGGCGGGTATGTGCTGAAGAAGGCAAGAAAAGAGGGCTGGTGAGGCTGAAGCGGGAGGTTGAGAACGCGAGAGAAAGAATCAGATCGACACGCGAGATGAGGGCACACGTGATGGATACGAAACGCGTGATATTTTCCACGGTTAGAGCGTGGGCCGTAACGGAGACTAGTCGGAGCTGGAAAGACTTGTTGGGATCTCGCTACAATACCGCACGCTCCTGCCATTTGCAGCCGATCGGGGGGCGGGAAGATGGCGGCAGCTTTCAACTGCAATCCTGTCATGCCCATGGCGGCTCCCATTCAGACGTCCGACGCGCCGGGCCATCGCCCTAATATGCGCCGCAAGTCCTCTGCTCAGAATCTCCTCTCTTCTTTCAAGTCCACTCCTCAGGTCGGATCCGTCTCTTCCGCTACTGGTCTCCAGTTTGTCCCCGTTCCCACCCCGCCCCCCAACGCAGCCAGCATGGGTCGTGACTGGGATGTGCAATCCCAGCAGTCGGAATCCGTCGCCCCATCCACACTCTCCTCTGGCACCAATGGTGCTCCCGCTGTTCAAGGAACCTCTGTCGAGATATTGCGCGAGCTCGTCAGAAAGCGCATCATCACATTGACATACTTGCGGAACGTGCACGAAGGGTACGCGATTTGCTTTGTACTCTGCACGAGGACGAGACGAAACCGAGTGCCTCCCCAGGCGCAGTCATTGGTTCCATACCATCATGGTCACTCGAGGCGAGCTAGAGAGGGCGTTTCCAAATACCGCCATGAAAGCCCGGTACGCCTGTGTCTCCGTCCGGAATTTGGCCATCCGATTGACGCTGTCCCGCATTCAGAACATACCGCTTAGCTATGCTCGGGATGGGTCTCGCTCATCTATTTGACATCAAGGACCCTCAAGATCTCTTACGCGGCTTCTCCAACGTACTTAACGAGTACGATGCAATGAAGGATCCCCCCAAGGAAGACGGCGATCGACTACGAATGGCATGTCCATTTTAATCACAACGATGCACCACTACTCACACATACTCCCAGCGTCTATTCAGGACAAAGCCCCAGAAAAGGCAGCCTGGCGCTACAGACTACACGATGTCGTACGCGGATACGTCCGACGCCCCATATCTGACCATGCCACACGTCGTGCGTATTCCTCGCTCGCCCATCATTATCATGTGTCTGACATCCATCCATGTACCATAGCCCTTTCCCCTTGACTACCACCAAACTCTTCTATCTCTTCTCGATGTTCTCTCGGAAGTATACAACAAGATCTCGAAGATTCTCGGGCCGTCGCCGTTCCCAAGCTCGGGCCACCACATGATGGGCCCACTGGGTCTTCTCTCGCCACATCCAGGCGTGTCGTATCTATTCACAGGGGCTGAAGCAGCTCCTATGCATGAAGGCGAAGCTAGCTTGTGGGGAATCGCTCATGCCCCTGGCCCCGGAACCCCAGCTGTGCTCGCCGGGGGAAACGGTGTACATGGTGGTGGGATGGGAAGCCCACCACCAAGCTGGAATTCGGCGCTAGGCGACACCATAAAACAAATTGACAATAAGCTCAAGGCAAGCGCATTGTTCTGCTGCGATTACCGCTCTCGTCTGGTATTGACCCTTCCCACTAGAAATTGGTTGCAGTACTTTTGAAAGAGCTCGACGACTTTGCTCGCGCAGGCATCAGAGATGAGCTTGCATCTTTGGATCCTCTTCTGAGGAATGCTGCCGTCCCTGAAGACGCGCGAGAGCAGCAGTTCGATTTTGATTGAGCGAGATTGATACTGTGATGCTAGTGGCATTGGCGACCACTACTGACGATTTCTATGACATGATGACTGCTAACTTTATGCCCGTATCTAATCTACAGCGTGTACTATTGTAGCTGTACCCTTCATAATGCATAGCACAATACAGCTCTACGTTTACGATATGGGATTGCCGATGAGGTAAGTGAACGGCCAGTGACATACTACGCCCTGCGGCATTCGTCCGCATTACGACCAGGGCCGCGATATTGTCTCCACTAGTATATGAGTCAAGGCGACTGAGCAGTACGCGCTAGCAGATTAAAAAAATTCGAACGCCTCTCCGGAGCCATTGTGTGCATGCTGGCAGAAGGACCACTGGAAGATTGTTTGATTGATGGCATGTGTTGAGAATCTGCAACTTGGCGCTCACGGGCCGGCAGCTTCTGATATTTGCCTGAACAAATTGAAAAATTCACCAAACCCAATGAAAGGCGAGAAATGAGAACGAAAAGCAGGCTGAAGCATCTACGGAGAATTTCTGGAAGGAGCAGTACCTACAGGACGTTTTGCACCGACAGTAGGCTTTCATGAACGAGGGCACCGACTCACTTGACTTTCGGTTCGGGCAGATTATTAAGCCGGAACTTTCGTGCGGAGCTTGAATCTCTGAGATATATAAAGGGAGAGGTCGCGTCCCGAGCAAGCCCCCCTTCCCCAAATCCCGCGCCACCGTATTTTCCCACGCTCTTCTTGCCTCTGCATTTTGTGTTGAGCGCATCCAAATAATTGTCAGGACATTCCGCATTTTATACCATCATGTCCTACGCGTTTCCTTCACGTCAAGTCACATTCTCAGGCCAAACGAATGTGCGCCAGCAGCAGTATCCGCAACCACAACAACAGTCGCAGCCACCGGCGACCAGCCTTGCCCTCCCCTATGCGGCAGCGCCAAATCCATACCTTGCAGCGACTGCTTCATCAGCCTTAGCACTTCCTGGCCCTGCGCCTGTCGCGCCTTCGTTTGCGGCTTATCAAGCTCAACAACCTCAGCAGTCGCAGCCTGCCCTATCACAACAACCAGCGCAGTCTCAGACTCAAACGCAGAGTCAGACGCTTGTTGCGAGCAGTCAACCTGCTCCTATTGCTGGACCCTCCACTCCCGCGCCCACTGCTGTGCCTGCAACGCCTGCGCCCCTTACGCTTGAGCAGCAGCACATTACCGCCGTCGAGGGCATCGTCCCAACGTTGCAAAACATCGTTGCCACAGTCAACCTGGACTGCCGGCTGGATTTGAAGACCATCGCCCTGCACGCCCGGAATGCCGAGTATAACCCCAAGGTTTGTATTTACTCATTGAATGTGTGAATGTCGGACTTCTTCCGCATCGCACTCCTATAGCGTTTCGCGGCGGTCATCATGCGTATTCGTGACCCGAAGACGACAGCGCTTATCTTCGCGTCGGGCAAGATGGTTGTTACCGGCGCGAAGAGCGAGGACGATTCGCGGCTCGCATCGCGCAAATACGCCCGGATCGTACAGAAGCTTGGCTTCGATGCCAAGTTCTCTGAGTTTAAGATCCAGAATATTGTCGGTAGTTGTGACGTGAAGTTCCCCATCCGTCTGGAGGGTCTTGCGTACAGCCACGGACAGTTCAGCAGCTACGAGCCTGAGGTATGTAACCACTACGGTGGATTGAGTCTTGCTAAATGGTACCATGCGTGTAGTTGTTCCCTGGTCTTATTTATCGCATGATCAAGCCTAAGGTTGTGCTCCTTATATTCGTATCTGGGAAGATTGTTCTTACGGGCGCAAAGGTAAGCGACGTTGTTGTTGCGGCTTTATCATGGACATTTGTTTATACTTAATTAGGTCCGCGAAGAGATCTATACCGCATTCAACACGATTTATACAGTGTTGTGCGAGTTCCGGAAACCATAGATTGTTTCTCGATGATTGCACAGGTATTTCGTCTGCTCGTTATTTCACGCTAAGCGGGTCTTGGGATTGCGAGTGGCGAGGTGTAGTGGTGCTGGGTGGTGCTATTTTGAAAAATGCCGGACCTTCTATGAAGCTGACGTTACCCCTTCGCTCTCTTCACATGTTTACGATAAAAACCATTAGTTCACATTTTACATATGTTTATTATGTTGTAGCATTGTATCAATAAACAAAGCTTGGAATCGATAAATAAGGCTGTTTCCATTATGAGAATAGGAAGTTACTTCCATTCCTGTGTTTTATGGCAAGTTTTGCTACCACGGACAGGGCCCCATTTGATTTCTGAAATGATTAGCATAAGGTTTTAGCGGATTCTGTAAGTCTGACGGCCGTTATCATTCGGGACGAGGATAAATGAATGGTAAGCGCCGGAAGGTCTTTGAGGTGATCAGCATTAAGTACACTCCGCTCATCTAATGTTCCTTAAGACTTTTACCTCCTGCCCTCAACATCTCATCTTGCCAGTTCCTGCTGAACGTTCAGACTCCACCGCGGCCACGTTGCGACCGCAGGGTTGAGCGTTGCTCCTCGCTTTCCTCTCCACATCCATGACCTATGGCTCAACCGACCCCATCCAAGCGGGACAATGACAGGTCCTCTAGTGCCTCCAGCTCTAGGGGTACGACACCATCGACGCCCAGTTCACTTCTTCGCCCTGTCGAAAATCCATCTCTAGACATCTCGGTACGCCCATTGTGTCCCCTACCCACTGTCCGGCGCGTACCTAACGGGATCGTGTGGATCAGAGGGATCTGTATACTGCGCTCACTGGAGGCTTTGAGACGACGGGGGCATTTTCCTCACAACACGCATATCCAGAGGCACCAAATCCTTGCATACATGTCGACGCCGTCGGTCCAGTGGGGCTGCCTATGGGCGACCTCCAGGCGCAGCACCTGCTGAAAGGATCTGGTCGCTGCGAGTTTTCCTCATACCAGGTGCGCCCTGGTGGGCTTCCCCATTGTGCACAGCCAGCTGACCAATCCGCAGGTCCAAGTTAGAAACCCGCTGTGGGAGCCGTTCATCAGCACCAAGGTACTTCCCGCCATCTGCAGCGACCTCGGCATCAAGTATGAACCCATGTCGCAAAAGAGTAGCCTCTCTAAGCTCATGATCTGGAACGCTGAAGCCCTGCGGCCATCGTTCGACGACGAGAAGCAGCCCGGAACGTTCGCCAGCCTCCTCGTGGTGCTGCCCTCGGAGTTCCGAGGAGGCGATCTCCACTTCTCACATAGTGGAATGTCCAGCGTGATCTCCATCGACCAGAGGAGTGCTATCGAGACCTCGGTCGCTGCGTGGTACCGAGACGCAGGATACACGGTCAAGCCAATCCTGCGCGGCCAGTGTGTCGCGCTGTGCTATCATCTTATTCATACTTCTGACGCGCCACCCCCACGTTTGCGCGACATCCACGGTGCGTTTGCGCGGCTAAGCCATGTCCTTCTATCCTGGCGACAGGGCGAGACCTCCCAGGGCTCTCCAGAAAAGATTGCTTTTCTTCTTGAGCATACATACCGAGAGGACCGACTTCGTGGTGGCGGACTGACGGGTTCTGATGCGCACATGCTGGATCTCCTCCGCCCTCTTGCCCGACGCTTACGTTTCCAGCTGTATCTCGCCAATATCGAGGTTTGCGTCACTGGTGTCGCAAAGGAGCAGCCACCAAGGCCGCTGCTCGGCAGATGGGCGTCTAGTGGCTCCGAAGCGCGCCCGGACTCCAGTGGGGAAGACGTAGTGATGCTCTACGCTGATGAGCAGTGGCTCACGGTCCAGTACGCGGTGGACCTCGATGGGACACCTGTATGGATTGAAGACCTGGACATCGACCCGGACGATGATGTCATCGGAGGACGATTCAATGCCAGACCACCGGACGAACAGCAGATTGTAAGTGAGCACTGTCATTGACACGAGCCCTTGCATTCTCATGCATGTGCTGCACTCCTAAGGACGCTGGTACTTTGAGATACTGTGAGTGACAGGTCTCGCCCTAACCGTTCATTGTCCCTTGACACGAGGTATAGGGTATCGACGAACGGTTCTCTTGATATGGCCCGGGAATCGACCATTCGAGGTTTGGACAGGCCAGGTGTTGGATGATGACATTTCCTCTTTGTCCACCTCTCTCTCCCTCGAGCGGTCCACGAAAGAACGGCGGATGGTTAATCATCTGCTCGGGACCCTTCCAGATAAGCACCATCCGAGTCTTCCTCGTGCTGCTAAAGCGCTTGCTGCGACGGCGATTAGGTGGAAGGACGTGGAGTTGTGGCTTCGTGCTGCGGAAGCCTTCCGAGCGGACGAGCTGATCGGCGCTTGGGGCATTCCCCAATACATGGAAGCCGTTAAGACGTTTGGCTTGGAGCCAATCGAGGCTTTGTGAGGATGATAAGCGCGATTTGCTGAGCCTCGCTAACTATTTGATGTAGTCTTGATAAGGCGATCGCCAACTGTTTATCCAACTCGCGTCGCTTCGAGTTGCTGGATGTTGTCCGCCAGGCAGCAGAGCACAATGATCAAGGACGAGATTACATGGAAGCATGGCGGCGTCGCGCGCAAGATGTGCTATTATCGTCGATCACCAAACCGATCGCTGAAGATGCAGCTTGGTTCCTGCACGTTATCTGGGATCGCGGCCTGGAATATATCCACGACACGTCAGTCCCGTTCTTGGCCGGTATTGTCATGAGTTGACACACCCAGTTGTACCAGGTTTGTCCCCAAGCTTTGGCAGTTGTCGCCTGAACGCAGCTTTTGGTCGACCTTCATCGACGGGCTATCTAGCATGAAGAACGAGAAACGCTCATCGAAGGCTGAGGCTAATTCCGTCGCCGCTCTGGTCAGCAGCATGATCGATCAATTGCTAATGGAGCTCCCACCTTTCCCAATGAAATTGAGAAGAGCCGTGACTTACCCCTTTGAGACAATCGAGGAGCATGACTTGGCACCCGTCTTGGAGCTCGTGCGACTGTGCATCGAGACGAAGAATCTCCAGTCGTTCGAGATCCTCTCTGACAAGATGGCAGCTGCCTCAGGTACCCCCGAGATGATGAAAATCCGAGCAACACAAGCATACTTTCCTATGATCGTTCGCATTGACCAGATTCTCCGATTGCATCCGGACATCGTACCTGGATCTGATCCCTTTGCCAAATTTTTCGAGATGGCTACCAGTCACATCCTGGACTACGCCGACTTGGACGGTCCCGAGTTTAACATCAGGGACTTCGTTGTTGCATTCAGATGGATTGGCAACGTCGATCTCCTGACAAAGTTGTTAGTTTTCTTGTATACGATGACCCGTTGCTCACTGATCCAATATGACCAGGCTGGCTGTTCGAGTTCGCGCTGTATCACCCAAAAAGGTAGGGTTGGCAGAGCACATTGCATCT